GTGACTTCCATATGAAGAACAGTTGCAGCATTTGGGACTTTTTAGTTTAGAGAAAGGGCGAGTGAGAGGTGACATGAAACAAATCATCTCACAAGAAGTCCCATCTTTTGGGGATGCTGATTTATTTCACAAATAAACTTTAATAGAGTGCCCTGAATTTGCTGCTGTGTGGCTAAATACCACCTAAAAACAGCCACAGTATGAAAGCACCCTCACTATTTTGTGGAAATGATCTGCAAATTTTTTGTTGTTGGAAAGATATAGGAAAGGACAAGAATGTGGGGCACAGTAGCCTCCCCTTTATTCTCTGCCCTTTTCACTGGGTTCTTGCCCTGGTCTAGTACAGAGCAAGGTCGGTATAGTAAAAGCTATGGATTTCCCAGTAGTGATGTATGGAAGTGAAAGTTGGACCATAAAGAAGGCTGATCACCGAAGAATTGATGCTTTTGAATTATGGTGCTGGAGGAGACTCTTGAGAGTCCCATGGACTGCAAGAAGATCAAACCTATCCATTCTTAAGGAAATCAGCCCTGAGTGCTCACTGGAAGGACAGATCCTGAGCAGCTTCGTCACGCTGGCCACGTGACCCGGAAGTGTCTTCGGACAGCGCTGGCCACCGGCCTCTTAAGTGAGATGGGCGCGCAACCCAGAGTCGGTCACGACTGGCCCGTACGGGCAGGGGTACCTTTACCTTTACTTTAAGGGAAAGCAGAATGACAGATCCCGAAGCTGAGGCTCCAATACTTTGGCCACCTCATGAGAAGAGAAGACTCCCTGGAAAAGACCCTGATGCTGGGAAAGATTGAGGGCACAAGGAGAAGGGGTCGACAGAGGATGAGATGGTTGGACAGTGTTCTTGAAGATACCAACATGAGTTTGACTAAACTGTGGGAGGCGGTGGAAGACAGGAGTGCCTGGCGTGCTCTGGTCCATGGGGTCACGAAGAGTCGGACACGACTAAACGACTAAGCAACAACAACAACAGTACAGAGGAGCATAAGGAAGTGCCTTCTACTGAGTCAGACCAGTAGAAGGTTTAAGGCAGGGGTCTCTTCCCAGCCCTACCTAGAGTTGCTGTCAGGGACTAAGCTTCCACATGCTAAGGCAGATCCTCCACCACTGAACTGGGTCCTTTCTGCTGCTGGAGCCCTTGTACGTTTTTTGCCCCCTGGAGACCTCTGCTGAAGAAGGCAGACTCTATTCAGGACAGTCCTATCCCCAGATTTAAGCAGCTGAAAGAGTAACCCACCAATACATGATGAATGGTGAGCAGCTGCTGATAGATCTGGGCCTCTCTCAACCCCCTGGCAGCCAGGAGTGGCAAGGCATGGCTAATATTTCTCTTTGCACAATGAAAGGCATTTCTGCAATTGTTCTAATGGTTGGCAGGGAAGCCATCTGCCAGCAACTGCATGAGGCCCAGGCATCCCTGCTCAGGTTTTCTTTCTTGATTCCAGCCTATAATAAGGCATCACAGAGAAATCAGAGGAATTGTTGAAGGCAGAAATGTTGGGCATCTTTGATCATCCCCCATCCTTGTTCTGCTACAGAAGTGTCAGACCGTGTGTGTGTGTTGTGTGCCTGTGTTGCCCTGGCTGGGATGGTGTTCCCATAGCAACCCCTGCACAGAGAGCGGTTCCGCTCTCTGTAGCATTCACAATTCATATTCATCAATGTTTCCAGTGCGCTCTCTCTCTGTGTGTGTTTGTGTGTGTGTGTGTGTGTGTGTGTGTGCGCGCGCGCGCACGCTATCTCTGGCTGAAAGACCAAAGAGGGCTGAGCCTTCACCAGCCATACAGGGACCTCTTGCCCTTTGGGGGGGGGACTTTCTCCTGCAAAAGAGCACTTGCTTAATGAGCATACAGAAGGCTGGAGGAAGTGGGGAGTGGATAGCAATGACTTTAATGACAGCTTCTGGCTCTTTCTTCACGGAATGTCAGTCAGATGGAATGTAAGGAAGTGTGATTACTGTATTAAAACAGTGAGAATCAGCCAACAAAAAAATCTGCAGCCCACCAGCAGCCCATCTAGCCCAGCATCCTAACCTACCTCACAGGGCAGTCGTGAGGATAAAATGGAGAGGTGGGGAGAGCCATGTATGCCTTCTAAGATGAAAGGAGGGTAGATATGTAATGGTAAATGCTGTAGATAAAGAAATGGCTGCTTGTTGCCCTGCCTCTTGCTCAGGCTCAGAAAACTGTGGTGGCCAGGAAGAGGTGGAGATGACTATAATGGTGGTCAGAAGGTGGACTCACTGAAGGTGGACCATGAATAAGTTGTTGTCAAAGGACCCTACAAAACATCACTGTTTGTTCACAGTGACTGGGCACATTTTGAAAGGGTGGTGTAAGACAGACAAACAACTCCTAATGGACTTTGTTTGCCATGGACAACTTGAATAGAAAACATATTCGTGCCTGGCACCTGCAGACTCACCATGCCTTGGACTTGAGGACAGAACACTTTACTCCAGAGAGCCAAAATTTGCCATGTTCCTGAGAGTAAAAGTAGGCCATTTATAGGAGTTGAGTCAGACTGTTCCATCCAGGTTCTTTCTTAATCACAGGTGAAAACAGCCTGTCTTTCCTTAACGGCTCCTGCTCTGTGATGAATGCTCTTTGCTGGCCCACATCCTCTCTCACATCCAGGGGCTTGCATTTCCTGACAGGAAGCTGGCCTGCTGCAAACAGACATGACTTCACAGTGCTTCTGTGAGCATATGGCTGTCAGACAAGAGTGCAAGCCTCTTGATTTAACAGATTCTGAAGATCTATATAAAGCAGTGCTGAGCAATATCCACCCACTAGGCCCAGGATAGATTATATGAGGTGAACTGCAGACAAAATGCAGATGACTCCAAGAGAAAAAACAAATAAATAGATGATCACATGTTTCCCAGGCTTTATTTAGTTTTGATGATATCTCCAAAGGAAGAAAAAATGGAAGGTTTTTTAAATAAAAAATGTAATTGGTATGCATAAAAGGATTAAGAATTTGTAAATAATACTAATAGAATGACAGAGTTGAAAGGGCTTAGGAAGATGAGGAACCTGTGGCCCTCCAAGGAATACAATTCCCATTAGTCCCAGCCATCATGGACAATGAATTCAGGATCAGCAGGCAGCATTCAACCAAGTAATTATGGCACCTCTGGCAGATGTTCAGGGAGATGTGCCTTTTATCTTACATAACCGAAGAACAGGGTGCCATGTAACATTAATTCAAAATGTGTTGTTTAAGCAAACATGATCCCTTGTATTTGGCACATATCTGCTCTTATGTAAATATGTGCCTTGAGATGCAATGAAGCCCACAATCACAACTAGGTACGAAAGAAGTGGAAATTGCATTGAGGACAGGCAAGTAGAGCTGATTGATGCCTTCTAAAAGCTAACCCCAGGTAGGGATATAACTCTGTTTTCTAGCCTGCTTGCTTCAGATAGCAGCAACTGCTTTCCAGGGAAGGGAGTAACATTTACGGCATAATACATTTATTCTAAGAACTGCTTTTGATGTGTAGGCTTGGCTTAAAGAGACACGACAGCTGGGTATGCTTAGGGTTTCTGAGAATAGCCCTCTCTCTTGGCCAGGTCTAGTTTGGAGGCCAGCCATCCAGTGGCCCTTCCTGCACTTTCTTGTTGCCAGAGACAAGGCGGTGGGAACTTTCTACTTCTATGAAAGCAGGAGGGAGAGAGAGACATTGAAATACATGGTTGCAAAATCATCTAATGGAGAGTTTTGCTCAGTTTGGTTGACTTTTCTTTGTGTGTGTGTTTTTACTGGGATCCCTCCCTCCCCCCAAGCCAAATCCATCAGCTGAAGCTGGATGCAAAAGATAAACACTTATTAACAAATTAAATAGTTCTGAGCCCAGGAATGATTTGGGTACTAAATCAGAACTGAGCACACAAAATGCCCACTCCACTTTTGCCACTTTCATAACCACAAGCAGCATCAACATCTTTCTTCATTCCAGCAATGCAACTGGGTGGGAGCAGGTCATTTAGTTCCTGTTGCTGTTAAACAACTGAGAGTCTGCAATCCTTGCCAATTTACTGCAAATCAACCAGCAATCTGTCAGTATATCCCCGTCTACCCTGGCTTGATCTAATGAGCATCCCCTCCTTCTAAATCCATTCAGGTTTGACCACAGACTGCCCTGCAGAGTTGGAGATGCGTGTGATGGGAATTGTGGCTCCTCTCCAGATGGAAGAGACCCAGCCAGCTCCTGCCACTAAACCCTTTGGGCACAAGCCGGATCTATGAGAACAGAGGCTTTCTCAGCATTTCCAGCTGCAAGAGTGACCTTTGGAGCTTTCCCAATGGCAGTCACATGGACTTGTTACAGGCCACTGCTGCCACTCCCGACTAGCTACCACCTTTAGGAAACCACAGCAGAGAAGCATGGCTCCCCTGCCAGGGAACACTGGCAGGATGCCAGGCATTGCTGTGCACTCAAACACTGAAGAACATCCCATCAGATTGCATGGAAATCATTTAGGATGATGGGCGCTTTGGGGGCTCTGGAGGCAGCAGTCCCTTCAGCCTCCCTCTCTTTCTCTTTTGCTCTCCTTGCCAGACTCATTTTGTTCCAGAAAAGGGTCTTTTTTCCATTTTGCCTGCTGCTATTTGCTTATGAAAGATTTCAGCAGAGAAAGTGAACCTTGGATTTGGCTACATCCACACCATACATTCAAAGCACATTTAAATTAGTGATGGATTGGCTGGATTTATATCCCACCTTTTATCCAAGGAAATAAAGGTGGCACATGGTCCCTTCCCCGCCCCCGCGCACAACCCTGAAGGGGTGGTGTAGATGTGAAGAGCCGCTGGGAGCAGCTGGCTTGGAAAGAGGCAGGAAACGCCCCACCCACCCCCAATTCTTCGGGAAAAGGGAGTCTCGCTCTCCTGATGGGAGGGGGACGCCTGCTTCTGCCAAAGAGAGGTCTGCGCATGCTTGTCCTGAGGGGCTGTTCCCAATCCAGGCACGGCTCGGAGAAGGGAGGCGGCGGCACTCCTCCTCCTCCTCCTCCTCCTCCCACCCTCGCGCTCTCGTAAGGCGGGCACAAGCCGTCCCAGCCACGCAGAGCCGGCGCAGGAGGCTGGGCTCCAGCACACGGCTTGAGATGCATTGTTCCTGTGGGGAGGCTCGGAGCTGGAGGTGGCGGCGAGGGTGGCGACGGCGAGGGTTGGTGGCTGCGGAGCCCCTCCATCTCGGGCCTCTCCCCGACTCCCTTCGCGCCGCGGGGCTGTAGGAAACGGGCCCAGCGGCTCTCCAAAGACCCCTGCTGTCCTCCGTCGCTCGCCTCCCTTCCCCCGAACCGTTGGGCTGAGCGCAGGCGGGGGCAGGGCAGCGCAGGCGCCTCCAAGGGGCTGGTGATGCCCACAGCTGGGAAGTGGCAGCCGGCGCTGGCGCCCTCGCCAGGTAACCCCGACCCTGCCCGCCCGGCGCGGAGCTGTCCAAAGAGGGAGGCGACCCGCAGGAGCTGTTTGTGGTGCTGAAACCCGCTACGCGGGAGCCGCGTCAGTTAAAAGTGCGCCGCTGCCCTCCGGGAACCCCGTCTGCTCCCATCGGCGAGTTCCAGCCCAGCGCCTCCTCCAGCGCGGAGCTGTCCAAAGAGGGCGGCGACCCGTGGACTCTCTCCCTGGTGCTGAAAAGCCTTGCGAGAGGAGGAGTGCCAGGAAGGGACTTTGAACGGTGCACCTTTGCCCTCCCTGATCCCTGCCTCCTCCTGGTCCGGCTGCTCCCATCGGTCGGTTCCAACCCAGCGCCTACTCCTCCTCCCGCCCGGATCCAGTTGCGCGGCGACTAAGCTACTAGATCTGGTGGAGAAAGGAGACCCAGCCGAGTCTGCTTTTCCAGGAGCCATGGCTGCGCTAACGAAGGTGGCCGCCGCCTCTTCCCTGCTGGTGGTGGTCCTTTGCGGTAGGTGCTTCCCGCCTGTGGTCCAGGAAACCATGTGAAACGTGTGTATTTGTGAGACAGCCAGAGAGAGGGGTTCCGTTTCAGTGGGAAGGATCCCTGAGAAAGTCCTCTATGAAGTCATTAATTGCCGAGTTGCCCCGGGGGCCTGAGCAGCTCCTCGAGAGAGAGAAGGGTTGCCATGGCGAGCTATTGTGCACCACTTTAATTAAGTAAGGGGAGGGTTGTGGTTGTTTCCCGGTTGGACAGAGTCAAAGCGCAACCATGGGCCTCGTGCACTTGGATCTGCACGTGCACGATATCAAGAGAAGCCGGAGGAAAATTGGCTGCGAATTGCAATGACTTTCATATTAACTTTCCTTCCCCCCACCCCACTCCACCCCAAGGAGGGCCTTAGGGAGCTGCCTTCTACCAGTCAGATCGCTGATCTATCTAAATCAATATTGTCCCAAGGTTTCAGGCAAGGAGTTTCTTCCAGCTCTGCTTGGCTGGTGGAGATGCTGGGAATTAAACTTGGAGCTTGCTTTCTCTCTAGGGAGCCTTTAGAAAAGGAGGCAACAGCCCAAGTACCTTTAAATTCCCATGTCAAAACTGAGTTTCAAAGATGTTTTCAAGGGGCTTCCAACCATTTCTTCTTTTTTTTACATTTTACCTCCAAAATACAGTTGCAATAGTGAATCCAGCAGTATTCAGGCAAGACTTTGGATTCCATGCTGTATCTTAGAACACAGCAGTTTGGCTGGGAAGCCTTACAGAGAAACAACCCCTTAGACTGTGGATTTGTCCCTTGTCAGACCGCCCAGTTAAATTGTGGATCCTAAGGCAACAGAGGAACAGCTGGGAATGAAGCCTGTAAAAATGGATAAACAGGTGTTGGAAGTGTCACAGGGAAAGGGTTGTGCCTCATTGAAGGAGAACATGTTTGCGAAAGTGCAATTTTTTGTGCCAACTTTTATTTAAAGCATTGTGGGGGGGGGCAGAATGCACAGACAATTACATCCTTGCTCTTCAGTCAATTCTATGCACTTTTGAGAGCTGAAAGCATTTTCACATGCCACACTTAACAGTTTTTTGGGGCGCATTGGTTCTCTCTCCCCCCACTCTCCACATCTGCAGTTCCCTAGTTTGGCTAAAATGTGCATTCAGTTTTAAAATGGATGTCTTCTCTTTTCTACATTCCCTGAACAACATTCTCACATGTGTACAGAAATGGTACAGGAGGGGATTTAGAAATGCTTTCAGGGTTCTGTGCAAAAATGCTCTTCAGAGTAAATGAAACCCCAGAGCAATGTGCGGGCTTCTTGGCTCGAGGAAGTCAGAGATGTTTTTCCTGAACCCCTGTCTCTTGGGGAAACACTGGCACTGTTTGCTTAGCAAAAAGAAGCTGTCGTTGTTCAGTGTCAGTTAGAAAGGGTACAGTAAGCATTATCTACATGCTTGGCTAGTAGCACTTAAGAGGGAAACATTCAAACTGTTGAGTAGAATCTGACTTGGTGCCAGCTGTTCACATGTACTTGCGCAAACTGTGCTATGTATAAGAGAACCAGAATGATACTAATTTTGGCATCCTAATTCTCACATAAGGATGGTGATGAAAAGCTCTGTCGAGTCTGGTAGACTGCAATACTGTGTTGGGGATAGGACTTTTGAGGGGGGCATTTTATCATTCGTATTTTATGCTTCTGCCTTTTTTAAATGTTGTGAGCTTTTAGGATGAAGTAGCCTTTTACAGATGCTGTGTGTGTATAGAAATACAGGTTTTCATAATGTGTTTTGCAGGGTCTCTGGGGAAATGTAAAGAACAAACATAATATTTAAAAAAAAGAACCTGGGAGGGAGAGGGAAAAAAGAACTTGCAGTTCTGGATTATATAACTTCTGGTTGGTTGACTGTATGTCACATGTGCTTCAATTGTAGCCCAAATGATCAAAGCAACATTGAAATCTCACAATTCAGATTTCTGTGTTGGAGGAATGAGATGGGACTCTGTATAAATCTGCAAAACACTAGTAAATTCAGCACCAAGTTATTATTTAATGTGGATTATTGGTTGAGATCAGCATAGGATGGAAGGTTTTTTGCAAATCCTGATATTTAATCCATTCTCAACGAATGCCAGTGTTGAATTAAGAGATTTATTTTCACTGAGAATCACAAGCGTCTTGAATAACAGATTGTTCTCTGTGTCGCTCCACCCCCTCTCCATGTGTTTGTGTCTTCCTCTGTCTTTTTCCCTTCTTGGAAATGGGTCCCTCTCCCAATTGCACTATATGCTCACATATCCAAACTGGGCTGCTGATCCATGGCTTTCCAGTGGGTGTCTGCTCTTCAGTCTGTGTTGAAGTACCGTCAGAGACAGAGGCAGTCCAAGGGTCGCGCATGAAGCTGCTGTGTATCTCCTGCATGAAGCGAGAGGAGGTTTCTGCCAACACTCTGGTTCAGTGGTACTATAAAACCGAAGGGGGCATAGATGAGCCTGTAAGTATCACACTGGGTGCCTCTAGCTATGAGGCTGTGAGGTGAGAAATGGGAAAAGGGACCAGGAGACGTTATTCTCTTCCTTGATAAAGGGTGGGAGGAAATAAGGTGAAAAGGATCAATCTCAGGTAATGGGTGGCAGGGAAAACCAGCAAAATGAGGATCATTTGCAAATGCATAGGTCTTCGCCTATAACTAGACATTTATTAATAGATGTTTTGATGAGGGTGCTATTCCCAACAAGATTCTCATCTGGGTCCTCAAACCCTATTAGGTGATCTGCACAGGAGGCTTTGCTGCGAGGAGGTCAGATCTGCTTTCCTAAAAGAGTTGCAAGGACTGAGCAGGAATCTTACCAACCATCAGCTTCAGGCAGGCTAGATCAGAAAGGTTAAATGTCCTGAGAGCTTAAATGCTGTTCACACATCTTTTCAGAAGCTCTCCAAAATATTTACTGGTCCGGGAAGTCATCATCCTGGCAAAACAAAGTGCTAAACTCCAGTTTATTCACAGAGCAGCTGAAGAAAACATATTGGTGTGATAAATGCTTTTGCATTGCTTCCTCTTTTTCTGTTCTGACACACAAGGACAGCTGTTCCACAGCTGTTTTTAGACCTCAGTTATGACACCTGGCAAAGCACCCAGTGTTGGCCACACTACTGTTGAGATGCCCCTGTAGCATAATCCAAAGAGACTATCTGTCCATGTTTATTCTTGGGGATCAGGTGTCATTCTCTCCTGCTCTGCACTATTGCCACCTTATTTTCTTGTTCAAAGGGAGCGTATTAAATGCCAATCCACACATGCATTTGTCACATGTTTTCTTTGTATTCTATATCCATTGGAGCAGGGAAGAAGAGTTTAAGAATAGGGAGGGCTCTGAAGAAGATCTTTAAAAGAAGACTTTTCCAAAGAAACATTTTAAACAGTCCGGTTTTGTTCCTTGCAACAGAAGACAGCACAAAGGTCTGAAAATGACAGCATCCTTCCTTATTCTGCTCCCTACAGATCTACAAGTACGAAAATGAGAAGCAGGAACTTGGGAGCCGCTTCCGTGGTCGGCTCCAATGGGACGGGAGCATAGACATGCAGGATGTGTCCATCTCCGTGCTCAACATCTCTTTGAATGATTCGGGGATCTACACCTGCAATGTCACTCGGGAATTCAACTTCGAGGTTCATCGACCAGTTGTCACCCGCTCTACACTGATCCGTCTCACGGTGGTGGAGGAGGGTATGAAGGGTGACGGGCATGTCCCTTAATTCTGGTGCCTCTTGGCAGTGGGTCTCTTGCAGTCACACACAAGATGGTGATGCAGAAGTTGGTAATTTGTGTAAGGAGGGGGGGGGGAGAGACTCCTCAAGTTTCAAGCAGTTTCTCCCACATTTGCATTCCGTAAAGCAGGCTGAAGGGTTTATCAAGGGCCAAATTAAAGATGACTTCCTAGGTGACCCAGAGACACTCGCTGTGGGGCTGGTTAAACACAGATGGCGTTTTATAGCCTTCATGCCAAATAACCCTTAAACTACTCTGACCACTATGTTGGGGGGGGGGGAGAAGATGGACATTTGCTCTGATCCGTAGAAGGGACACACAGTTCAAACTTGCAAGGGCCTGTTCATTTCTTACTTCCTTTTAAATACAAGGTATACATTTAGTGGCAGAATTAGGCCTGAAATCTTTCTGAATGATTTTCACTCCATGTTAGTGAGCTGAACAAACGAGCAGCAATATTTGCATGTGTACAGTTTTGCCTTCAGAAAACTTGGTTCCAAAGCTTATTTTGGAGCTTTATGTCACCATCCTTTTGTCACCATTCCCCACAAGGGACTATTGGGAAGCCGAGGCAGAATGTAATGAAATGGGGCTTGTGATGGACTTGGTGTAATAATATGTATATGGCATTGTATTCCACACTGGCCAAGTTTTAGGCCAGATGTTAAAATAGTCCCTTAATTCAAAACTATAGACTTTTGCTTCTGTCTACCATCTAAAACAGAACCCTCCCACTCCCACAAAACTTTTGGGTCATTAGGAAACACATGTCTTCCATACGGCACTATAGTTTTAGTTCAGAGTTTGTTTACCTGCAAAAATAGTAGAGGTTCTTTCCCACCTCCAGTCACCCCAGATTTGAACGCAGTTCACCACAATGTTTATCATAAGAATGTAAGAAGAGCCTGTGGCCCACCTAGTCCAGCATCCTGTGCTCACAGATGCTTGTGTAAAACCCTCAAGCACAGGAGCGCTCTCCTCTTCCAGCAACTCATATGCATAATAAGTATTACAGCTTCCACCCATGAAGGTCACTAGTGGCCATTGAAAACCTCCTCTTCCATGAATTTACTCAATCCTCTTTTAAAGTCATTCCAATTGGTGACCATCACTGCCTCTTGTTGGAGGAAGTTTTCTCTCTCTCCCCCCCCCTCTCTCAAATCTATCCTGAATCTTTCAACATTCAGGATGTCTATTAATTCTAGTGTTATGATGGAGAAAACCTCTTCTTTCTCCATGCCAAGCATAATTTTATAAATGCCCACTATCTCACCTCTTATTTGTCTTATCTCTGAACTAAAAAGTCCCAAGTCCTTGTAGGGAATCACATCATCATTTAGTTTACTTCAATGAGTCGTCAAAACTGGGCTCATTGGGGGGAAAGGGTTGTCCGTAGGCTGTTCTCTAATGGCTTGCTGGGACTGTCAGTTTCAACAGAAGCAGCGCAAAATGATTGTTGAACTAAATATGGCTCCCTCCTGTTGCATCTCATTCCTTACGCTGTGTCTATATTGTTTTCTCTCTCTCTCCCCCTCTGCCAACAGCTGTGTACCCCTTTCTCTGTGTCCTTTTTCCCCCTCTGTCTCCTTCCCTTGCTGAAGATCCCTCCCTGAGTTTCTTGGTGGTTCTGTTTCCTTGTCTTCAGCACAATATAGAACATCTGCAAATGGGGAAGTAAAGAAACAGGAAACAAAAGGAGAGCCTGTCAGGGTTCCAGGATGGGCACAGACGTAGCTCTGTTTGTCCCAAGCAAAGTATGTCATCTCAGCAACTCTGTACGTTTGCGCATGCGCTAAGGAGAACATATAGAATCATAGACTAATAGGGTTGGAAGGGACCCCAGGGGTCATCTAGCCCAACCCCCTCAATTGCACCTAAAGTGCATGTGCAAATGTCAGCCTTGTGGCCAATGGTGCAGTGGGTGGCACCACAAAGTCTTCTAAGAGATGGTAGAACCTCAGTTGTCTCACCCAGTTCTAGTGGTGATCCTGCTTTCACCTCATTTAGCCTCTCAACATTTTTTGCTTACTCGAAAGCTCTGATCCTCCCAACACTTGGGAGTGTTTGATTATCATGTTCTGCATGAGTATTTCATCCAGATTGTAAAGAATGATATGGGGGCACTATGGTCTATGGAAAAGAAATTCTATACATTGCTCTGCAAATAGCCTGAGGTTGTACTGTTCTACTGAGGTGGTGGTACAGTGGGATCCTTGCTCAGTTTGCAGCCACCAGCTGGCGAATGGGAACTGTGTGTGTTTAGGTTCCTGGCTGCAGGATACCAGTAATTTTCCAGTTGGCCCAATCCATTCCATAAGAGCCAATAGGCATGCAACTGCCTACTGAGCTGGCACAGAGCTTACAGTCCGAGCCAGAAAAGAGAACCGCTCAGTTTCTGCATGGCAAATTACTTCCATATAGGAAGATATAGAAAACCACACAAGCTCACAGGTTTCCAAAAGATAGCTGCAAAGCAGGACACCATGCTCTGTGCCCCACAAAGGTGGCTTTGCTCATGTGGATCTTTCCCTTTCTTGTCCCCTACACAGCTGGAGAAGACTTCACATCTGTCATCTCTGAAATAATGATGTATATTCTCTTAGTCTTCCTCACTTTGTGGCTGCTGGTAGAAATGATCTACTGCTACAGGAAAGTTGCCAAGGCAGAGGAGGTTGCTCAGGAAAATGCGTAAGTGAACATAAGAATGTAAGAATAGCCCTGCTAAGAGCCCATCTAGTCCGGCGTTCTGCTCTCACAGTTGACATCCAGAGCCCCCCAAGGGAAGCATGCAAGAAGGACCTCAGTGCAACAGCACTTTCTCCTTCTGTGGTTTCCAACACTTGGTATTCAGAAGCATTGCTGCCTCCAGTTGTGGAGGCAGAGCATAGGGTTGTGGCTAGCAGCCATTGATAGCCTTCTGCTCCGTGATGCTCAGAAACTGCAGCTGGTCGAACATGCAGCAGCCAGATGATTGGCTAAGATTCCATATCGGAGTTCATAAAACCACAATTTTAAAACGGTGGCAAAATCATCTCTGTCCAAAAGAAGATGAATCCAGGAGCTGATACAGGTACCTTGAACTAGAACTTGGGGGGGGGGAGCTTTAAACTTTGCCCCTCCCAAGTCATAATCAGAATCCAGTCACACATCCTAGTGCCCAGCTACTTGCAATGGGAGGAAAGCCATTTTCTCTCATTCAAACAGCAGGTGTAGCAGCAGTAAGGATTTCTATCGGATGGCAGAGGCACATACACACCACGGTCCAAATCTGACTCCCCACCTCCCATGCTGGCTTAAAAAAACAAAAACGGCTGTGCAAAAGTGAGCTACATTATCAACATCACATCTGTTTCAGGAAGATTTTAATGTTTGGTGTTTTGTTGTGTTCCTTTATATTTTGTGGAAGCTGCCCAGAGCAGCAGTTAGATGGGTGGGGAATAATGATGATGATGAGGGTGGTGGTGATGTCTGGTCCCAAGGTCTCTGGTCCCAAGATCTCCCCTTTTAACTGGAGAGCTCAGCAAGGCTCAAACCTAGAATGCTCTGGATGCCACACATGTGCTCTCCTACTTTGCTAAAGTCCTTCCCCATATAAACCTCTTTTTAAAATTGCCAGTTCAGGACTTTCTCCTTGAAGTACACTTTTCACCTTGCTCTACAGGACTGACTACCTTGCCATCCCTTCAGAAAACAAGGAGAATTGTGCTGTGCCAGTGGAGGAGGAGTAGAAGATGAAACCACGTAGGCATACAGTGTGCAAAAAAAAAAAGGTGAAAAAGCTCTGTACAAATCACATGGCAGCGGGGGAGGGCATTGGCTGCCTAGCAAATCCAAATCTGTGTGCAGGCACCACCATGGGGGTCATTCATGATCTCCAGGCTCAAGGAAGCTACTGAGCATATTTGAAAATGTTCAGATATGATCTGTGGATGGAATGTGGATTGCCGTAGACAGGTCTGCAATGGTTCCAAGTGACTCCAACAGCAAGAACTCTTCCAGGGATTATGGAGTGGAAGACATGGTGCCATCTTGAGATTTCCCCCCTTGTATGTATTTTGCTGAAGGTAAGAGTCCAAAGCAGTCTTCCTGGTAGAGAATTCAAAGTACAAGAGACATAAAACAAGATTAGGCGGTCCAAAAGGTAGGTAATTGGTAATGCACTAAAACTCCTCTCCTATGTGTGACTTCTACAAGTAGGTGGTATGTTTTGCTCATGCAGGTTTTCATCTAATCTTCTGAAAGTGGAAGGTGAATCACAGTCTGGCTCTTTTTCCTTGTTTTCAGGGACTAGGCAGACACAAGGAGTAAGTCACTGCAGCCAAGTTTTGCAGGAGCCCAAGACCAGGAACCACAAGGAAGTGTAAATTTGTTTCCGTTTGTCTGGAACATCGCACTGCTTTGACTTCATGGCTCTCATTCCTTGAGCGATCAGCCCATTGTTAAAGACTTTCCTTTGAGGCATGCAAAGTCGGGGGGGGGGGGAGAGGTGCATTACCTCCTCTGTTGCCCATTGCCTCAACGACTCTGTAAATACTCACTCATCTCTCGCTAACACAGACTTTCCTTTGGGTGCATTCAGACATCACAGCTTCCTCAGCATTAAGTGGCATTCATTTAGTCATCATTGCTTTTGGTGTTAATTTGAGTATGATGCCCCAGTGATGTCACAGAACATGCCCCAGATTTTCCTAGGGAAGCAGATAACAGTGGGTCTGTTTTGGCCAATACCTCCAGGAGCAAATGGAAAGCCAGGCAGAAGCAATACAGTAATTGAACTGTTTAGTTTTTCATGAACCTGTGGCACAGGAGGAGGAAATGCTCGAGCCAGAGATGTTTCCGAGGTACATAGTGCACTGCTAAAAGAGTGGTGATATTATACAGATACTAGATTGAGCCCTGGGGTAAGAGTGTGGCCATGAAGCACCCTCTCTTTGCATCGTATGTGATTTCCATGTTGCAACACTCCATAGTATGTCATATACTGTGTGTAAATAGGACAAGAGTCATTAACTTGGGCATTCTGTGATTTAGTGAAACCCAAGCAGCAAACTTCTAAACTAATTTCCAGCAGGATTCAGAGGGCAGTGGCAAATAACCACTTTGCAAAACATGATGTTGTGATGAAAGTTTAAATTCTCCTTAGTGTTTGACGCAGTGACCGAGATGCCCAGAATTGTAGGGGCTTTAAGTCGGGTCAGGTGTCCTTTTATGTACTTGAGAGAGTGAAGCAGGATGGACAATTCTAACTGAAGGATCGGTGGAAGATGGCAACGTGAACCTTCCATTTCAAAGAGGAGCACTGTGCTTTTAATAACTGCACGGCACTGAAAAAAATTATTCAGCTATTCCAATCTCAAACAAAGCCTGCCACTGCCAGTAGCATGTTATGCCCTCCAATTGCCATATACTATTTTATTATCAGGCAGGGGTGATGTAATTCCAGGTTCACAGGCCTGATCTGCCCCCGCTATCATATTTTGCTGCCCCCTCTTCCAAGACCCAACCAATTTTGGCAGCAGCAAAGATGGGAAATAACACAGAGGGCCAGCCCAGCACCCAGATAGGGGTGCAAATCTCTCACTTCCCGGTCATCAGACCAACTTCAAAGAAGAAAGAGGAAGCAAAACCCACTGCCATCACCCTTAACTGATTTGAACAGATCAGCTGAAGAGGAAGGCTGTCTGCCTATGTGCATAAGACAGCATGGGGTGGTCACAGCCACAAGTTGTCCTTGGAGGGTTGGGCCAAGGTGGGTTTGTCCCTCTGGGCCAGTAAAAAGGCCACCCACCCATTAGAAGGTCTGCATAAATAAAATCTAAACTTCTATCTGGTAATGGTTTGTTTTATGGTGGGGTAGAACACTGAGCACAATTTTTCTTTTCAGCAAAGGAATCTGAAGACTGTGCAGGGGGGCAAATATTAAGCCTAGCTGTTTGGTAGGATCAGATTATAGTGGTACCTCGGGTTACATACGCTTCAGGTTACATATGCTTCAGGTTACAGACTCTGCTAACCCAGAAATAGTGCTTCAGGTTAAGAACTTTGCTTCAGGATGAGAACAGAAATAGTGCTCCGGCAGCGTGGCAGCAGCAGGAGGCCCCATTAGCTAAAGTGGTGCTTCAAGTTAAGAACAGTTTCAGGTTAAGTATGGACCTCCGGAATGAATTAAGTACTTAACCCGAGGTACCACTGTATTGCCTAGACTTGCATTATTTTCTTTCACAGCAAATGATAGTATTAGAAAAAGCATGAATAGCAAAGTACTTTGCTGTAGTTAAAGACCACAATCCACCACTAAGCCTCATTGTAGACTTAATGGCAAACCATGGTTTGTTGCTACAAATATGAGTGGCAGGGTTATGCCTCCTTCCCTCCCTCTGCCATGCTTCCGATTTCTCTGGGGAGAGCTAAGCCATGAGCCCAGATCGAAACAGCAGCAGAACGAGCGGGGCTGCAATTGGAAGTTTCTGAACAGAGGTTGCGTGGCCATGTGCCAGGGTTTTGTTAGGGGTTGGACTAAATGACCCTTGGGAGACCTTCCAGCTCTAAAATTTGATGAGTCTACAATTCCTCTCTAGGAGTCCACAGTGGTTCATTCAAACCACATCATGGTTTAGCTTAGTGTTGTGTGTGAACCAGGTCCCTGTCTCAGTAATTTTTGGAGCAACCCTGTAAGCTTTTTTTAACTCCCCCCCCCCCAAAAAGTATAGTAATGCTGATGCTACTCAGCAAGCATATACCTGTACTAATTCATTAATCTTATTTATGAAGCTTATATCTGAAGCTTAGAGCTGTAACTCACCTTCTTCAACATGTCATGCTTCGTGGAGTTACTCAAATTGTGAACCAAAGCAGCACCCATAATTCCACATGGCGAAGGGTCCAGCTGTCATGCCCAATTTAAGCGCACTCCATCACATCCTACAGAAAGTAACAATGGAGGAGCTTTCTTCGCACTAAGGCCTCCTTCTTGATTTTGCCCATGATTTGCCATTTAACCCTTGGGAAGTTATCTGACCCTAATCCAGTTGAGTCTAAATCCAGCCTCTGCATTCTTTACCCGATATAATAGAATCTGGTAACACCCTCAGCTCTTGAGGTGGAGCAATTAAGTAGCAGTTCTGGAACCAGGAAAGCTTCAGAAGAATGAATGGTAAAGATAAACCCCTTAACGTTTTCTCTCCCACACCACAACTACTTCCATAATTCTTTAAGAAATAACACTTTCTTCCGCCTGCCTTCTAATGCAGTAGTTAATATGGGATTTCTGACGGTGAATACAACCTCCCTTGGTGGGATGTCTTACATGGGCACACAAAGGTAACCGTGTACGATGTCTTCAACTCAAAAGGTAGACTGTGTCTTCTGTCTGTGATGTGTGTGGAAAAGGCACAGGAGATGTAGAAAACAGACAGCAAAATAAAAAGCAAAAGAACCCACGTGATGCTTTCTCTCTCTCTTTTGTTCATTATATTTTATTCATACTCTTATTCCATTTCCCCCCCTAGCTACTTTACATTAAGATTTTGGCTTTGTAGCCTTTTTTAAACTCCTAGTTTCTAGCAGTCAAGTTTGTGGTTGTTGTTTTTTTCCTTTTAAATCAATTTGTATACTAGACTTTGCGCACAGCGCAAAGTTTTTTATTATAGTTACAGAATCAGACACACAGACACAGCCAGACAACTCCTACAGACACAACCAGGGGTGTCCTTCTGCACATCAGCCCAATGCCAGAATTTTGTCTTCCTACCACAGACCCTTCCAGCTGTGGAAAATATTTGGGAGGTGCGGAAGGGCTAGGGCCTCTGGTCTGTTCCCTTTATCTCTCCCCCCCCCGCTCCCCCCAAACCCCACCCCTCCACCAATAAAGGTGTTGAAATGTAGTCAGGAAAACTTGCACATCTGAAAAACAATTGTCAGTAACTAAGCCAGATGTTCATGCTTAAGGTGAGGGGGGGAGGAAGAGAGGTGGGTTTAAGGTCATCATCACCACCACACAGGGAACATTATAATGAAGTGGCTGCTCATTTCTCAAGGAAGCAGTCACATAAATCACTCTCCCAAACTCCAGAGGAGATTGAACAATGGGGAAATCACCCAAGCAGCTTCCAATCCTTTGCTACATTATGCCACCATCCCCCCCCCCAAGAAAAAAAAAATCCAATGCAAAGCTCAGGTTGGGAAGCCAGTCCTTCAAACCTTAGCAACAAAAACTGGCCAAAATAAAGTGAGGTAATTTTTTTAAAAAAAATAATAATAAAGATGAGTCAGAGAGAGAAGATACTCTGAGCCATGTGCGAATGTGATTCCTTCGGAAGGGAGTCTGCTTCCCTCGCCACATTCATTTCAGAAGACACTGCTGTCATGCGGAGGAAAGAAATGCATGGGGCAGCGCCAGGCCAGCCCTAGAGGGTGCCAAGAGCCTGGGAACTCAAGGTAAAGGGGAGAAAAGGAAGTGGAATAAGGGCAGAATGCATAGAAAGGTGAATTGCTACCAGGTTTCGCCTCTTTTCCAGTGGTGAGGGGAGAATATATCCTAGCAGAATCTGCTAAAGTTGAAATGGTCACACACTCTCTCTTTCTCAACAAGGTGTGTGGCTGAAGCTCAGCAAGTCAGGGTGAGTGGTAACACTCCAATTTGGCTGATTAGCACATCTGGAGGGGTTAGGAAGGGGGTGTTATGGCACAAAAACAAGAGTCACCTGTGCTTTTGGTAAGCATGAGGGAGATGCCAGAGAATGAGAGAAGAAAATAGGAGGAGGGGGGCATGGAGAACAAAATCTGAGAACCAACACCCCCCCCACTTGTGCAACAGAAAGGTCATTGTGCAGGCTGGGTGTTCAGCTCTAGCATTTCCTCCGCAATAAGTTGTTAGGCTTTTTTTTAAAAAAGTATTTGAGTCAGTCCAATTAATGAAACCGAGAAGGTGACAATGGGCCTGAGAAAAGAACAACAAATTGATCTGTGCCCCAAGGGTGATTGCTTTATAGGTCTGCTGGCATCCTTTGCAGCTATGCTGAACTCAGTGGAGATGAAATCACAGTATCAACTGGGGGCAGGAGAATGCAACTAATCGGTCGCAAAGCAAGTGACCTCTAAGGATGTCCTTCCTCAAAGGAATGGTTTGCCAGGAGGTGGGTGGGATGCAGGAAGAGCACAGGTACAACAGATCCTGCATCCTCATTGCACCTTTAACTCATCAAATGATAACCAGAGTGTAGCATCCTTAAGAATACGGAGAAGGCAGCACATCTTTACCTTGCAACAGCAATGACCAATCCAGCAGGGAGGGTAGTTATATGCTCTAACTCAGTTCAAAGGGAGAAAACATCATCTTTCCTGTCTCTGATGGGGAAACCTGCAACCCTCCAGATATTGTCAGGCTGCAACTCCCATCATCCCTGGTCATGCTGGCCGGAGCTGATGAGAGATGAGGTCCCAACAATGCCTAGAGAGTAACTGGGCCCCCATCCCTAAAAAAAACAACAAATTAAATGTGCCTCAGTAAGACCGAATTAGGATCTTAATCCTGTCTCCCCAGAGCAGCAGAAGCCTTTCCTCCACCTGCAAGGGCAGCGCCATGCAGAGACACAGGCATATTCCTTTGTCCTTGCAAATCTGCTTGCTCTGCAAAACTTAACAGGGTGGTTCTGAACACAGGAGCTATGCATGCAGGTTCAGGGCTCTTTGACAGGGATATCTATTGCCTTCCTGTACAGTCGGTAAGTCAAAGCTCCCCAGCCATGGGAAAACTCTATGGGGTCAATGTGGACATTACTTCAGAGAGAGGGGGAAAGTAAAACTCACCTCCCCCCCACCTTCCGTGTGCCTTACTCTGTTCACAAAACACACAGTCCAACCATGGGGGCAGTGGCAGGATCTTTAAAGAACAACCATGACCCTCTTAAAGAGTTTGACATGTTGCTCACTGGAATAAGGAGGCAGCCATTTTGGGTCAGTGCTCAGTTGTGGGGGGAAACAGCCCTTGAACTAAGACCTAGCCTGTAAAGTGGGGCGGGGGTGCCTTTCCCACCTGTCCTTCAAACCACCAGGAATGATTCTTGCTGACAAGGATATGTTAGAAAAACCAGTGAACCACACTTTCTTGTGAAGTTTATACTGGTGGAAAAACAATCGTCCCTCCTCCTCTTCTTGCAAAACAAAGTAAACCCTACAGGAGCTTAATCTTCTGGGGCCCCGACTTATATAATTGCCACTTAAAAAGTTAAAAAGAAAAGAAAGCTTTTAAAATATAGAACTGTCATTTGACTTCAACTTATTCCAGATCATTCTAATTTGTTGTTTGAAAAGTTCCCAGCATCTTAAAATTGGATGTTTTGCATGTCATTTCCCAAAAGCAGTGGCCAGGAAATGGTCTAAACTCTGTATTTCTCCAGAGCTATCAGGGTTGGTTGGTTTGTTTTGCTTTAGGTCACCAACACTGGCCTTGATTCTGCTACCAAAGGGTGTTTGGGGGCTTCACTTGATTAAAAAGAGTCGTCAGCAGCCTACCAACCTGCCCACCCTGAAACATCACCCCAAGACTATTCTTAGTCCCTATAACTTATCCTAGAGACAGTCATGCATTTGAGAGGCAGCTGCGTCTGCCAAAAAGATCCATTTTTTCTGCTTAGGCAGTAGCAATTTCCTCATTTAGTAGTAAGGGGCTGGTTTTCTTTCGGCACTTCTCCTGGATGAAGCGGGACACAAAAGATGCAACTAACCCATGCAAAAGGAGCTCGAGAACCGGGACGAGGACTTCCAAGCATCCAAGCTCGGTCCCATCAACTCATTTGTTTTCGGGAAGAGGGAAATCGGGGAATGGTTTTTC